TTTATTTATTTATTTATTTATTTATTTATTTATTTATTTATTTATTTATTTTTTACCAATTTGGATATATTTTATGGATATAAAAAGAGGGGGAGGGGATTCTATTCCAGAATAACTGTGTATTGATTCATCAACAACCAAGACAGACAGACTAGTCCAGGGGTCAGCAAGCTATGCTGGCAGTCAGTGCAGCCAGCTGCCCGAGTTTGTGGGTCATTTTACTGGCATTCAGCCCTTGTGTTTACTCAGAATTACCACTTTTGTGCTAGGCTTAAGTAGTTGGACAAAGTCGGACAAAGGCCCACAAAGCCTGAAGTATTTACTCTCTGACTCTTCACAGAAGAGTTTGACCCCAGCTTCATCCCAACCATCAACATCAGCATCAATTGGATGTGCTACAAGGGCAGGGTCTTGGGGCCCCAGTGGTCAGTCTGCCTCTGCAGGATGTTTGTATGAGAACCTGTTTCCTGGCCCCCTCCTTCCCCCCGACAGTTTTGATTCTAGGTGTTTAGGGCACAGAGAGTTGGATCTCAGAAGTTGTATGATGAGGATAAACAGGACATTGACCTAAAGGAGGTAACACCCGAGCTGGGTAGTTTCTGAACTTTGCCATTTGGAAGATTTCTGTGGAAGAGCAGATGAAAAATGGAGCACTTAGCCGGGTGATCCTTGCTTTGTAATGTCAGCACGCAGGAGGGAGAGGCAGGAGGATGGCTGTGCACTCAAGGCCAGCATGGACTATACCAGAAACTGCATCTCAAAGGAAAAGTAGTTCTCTTGGGGTGCTTGCTAAAAGTATGCTCCCCTCTTCAAATTTGGAGTCAATAAAATTTTTAAATTTATTATTATTGTTATTATTATTGTGTTTTTTTTTTTGTTTTGTTTTTTGTTTTTTGTTTTTTTTTTTTTTTTTTTTTGAGGCTGTTTCTGTGTAGCCCTGGCTGTCTTTGAACTTGTTCTGTAGGCCAGATTGGCCTTGAACTCACAGGAATCTGCTAGTCTCTGGTTCCCAAGTGCTGGTATTAAAAATGTGTGGCATCACCATACAGTGATGGATTCACTAAATTTTAACTTAGCTGAGGAATCTACGTCTAGCAAGCATGCTGGGCCAGGTTCTGCGCGGACCTAAGGAAACAGAGAAGTTCACTTTACTGTGCCTTCCTCTCTTGCTACCATCAGGCACCCTTTGTGGCAGGCCAGATGGACTACTGCATGGATAACCCAGCTGTCTTCTTGCCAGTCCTGGTTGGCTTCAATCCTGTGAGCATGGCCAGGTGAGGTGTCTGTAGGACTGGCCAGGCCTGGGGTAGCCTGGGAAGGGACATGCCCAAGTCCACAGAGTAATCGCCAAGTAAAAGACAATGGGCCAAGCCTCAGAATGCAAAGTAAATATGGGGTGGTTCCTCAGAATATGAAGTTTGGCTGCTTGCTTCATTTTAAATGGTCTCTCCTTGTTTCAGAAAGGGTGGAAGGCAATTTAAAAAAAAAGCTACGTAAGCCAAGTGAGATCTCTGAGTTCAAGGCCAGCCTGGTTTACAGAGCATGTTCCAGGACAGCCAGGGCTACACAGAGAAACCCTGTCTTTAAAAAACAAATAAACAACAACAACAAAAATCCCAAAAGCTACATAAAACACAAGCTTGTACAGATTCACACGGGGATTGGAGAGGTAGAGAGACAACTAGAAGGAAAAAAAGGGTCAGGAAAGTATATACCCCAAAGGTCTATGCTTTCATCTGGGGTGAGCCTTAAGCATCTTTTCAGAGTAGCAGCGGGTCCCAAAGGACCACCCACTCCTCTTTCCAGCTTCCTTATTTCATGTTCTTTTCATCATCATTCCAGGCACCCTTTGGCTCCTCCCTGGCTATTCACATCTGCCCCCTCGCCCTCAAAGCCCTGTGCTATAGAACCCCCTTCTTTTCGGGGAGAGGGACAAGGTCTTGCTAAGTAGCCTAGGCTGCCCTCAAATGTAACCTTCCTTTCTCTCCCTCTGCTGGGATTTTAGGCATAACCACCGCACCTTAACCCTCTTTGTTATTCCCTATCCAGAGGGCCCCTTGATCCCTGATCTTAACACCCCACATAGCTGACCAGTATGTAGTGTGTAGGTGTAGTTCGATTTGGGGTCAGGCCATGAAACGATTAGTGATTTTGAAGCCATTGGATTGGATCATCTGAGGGCACTGAGGGCTTCCTGGCCTTGGGGGATTGCAGCGAAGGAGCCTGGTTCTTTTGGAGATACTCTTTTTTCCCCTTTCCCACATTGCAGGCTTGTAGTGTAACTCCTACTAAGGTGTAAATGAGTCTGCGATGCTCTTAACCCTGATCCTTTTCGTGGAGGACTCTTCTTTACCCAAAATATATCTGCAACAGCGCGTGCTAATTTCAGGCCCTGTGACTAAGTGAAAGGAAGAATTTCAAACAATGTGGGCGTGGAGATCTTCCAGTTGTTCCTTAAAGCGGTGGCTCCCTGCCTTGGCTCCTTTTCAGCACTCTTTCTGAGAGTTATGGAGCTCAGAGGCACACCTGCTGGGGCCAGACCTCAAAGGGTGTGTGTGGTATCCAGAACTGCAAAATAGAACTCCCCGGAAGGTGTTGGTGTCCAGTGAAGTCTGGGAATCCTGGTCTGGACCTCACAGTGTCAGTGCTCTCTCTATTCCCTCCTTAGGTCTCCTCTGTCTCAGGGCTCCAGGAAGTGTTAGGAATTAGCATGACAACGGCGACGGGAGGCACTTTACCATGAATGCTGTCTGCCTCAAGGATTCATACAGAAAAATCTATAAACAATATTCAGGAAGGGGCAGGGGGCGGAGCCTGTGCCTGTAATCTCAATGCTGGAGGAGCAGAGGCAGGAGGATCCCTGGGTTTGCTGGCCAGTCGGTCTAGATTTAGTGAGTGAGCCTGTCTTCAAAAAGGTAGCTGGGGTTGGCCTCTGACCTACACACACACACACACACACACACACACACACACACACACACACATAATGTGCCCACAAATAAAATAAAATAAATAGTTCCCAAAGGGATGAAATCTTGTCAGGGATGTGATGACAAAGGACAGTCAGGGGTGACGATGTGTATGGTCCTGCCCCATGGGTCAGTCCATAAATTATCCCCCACGCCAGAAGATCCTCATTTTTCTAGATTCCCCCATTTGTAGCTAAACAGGTAAGTTTGTACTAGCTCTCTTGTCTCATTAACACGCTGCTTTGTTCTGATTAATTTATTGTGAAATATTCACCAACAGATGCTACATTTAATAGTATCAAGTTTATACCTCATTAGGGACCAACTTCCTTCTCTCAGGTATTTAAGGGTTCACTCCTTGTAGAGATTTTTCAGATGTATTTCCAAGAATGAGAAGGGCTTTCAAAGGACGCTAGGATAGAATATAAGTGGTAGTTTTGTTTGTTGAGACAGGGTTTCTCTGTGTAACAGCCCTGGCTCTGCCTGCCTCTGCCTCCCTAGTGCTTGGGTTAAAGGCATGCACCACCACAGCCAGGTTTAGAGGTGGTAGTTTTGACATTTGGCTTCCAGCCAGAACATTCAACTTGTATGCTGGCTTTGATGTAGGCTTATTTTGCTAAACTCTAATCCTTGGAGTCTGGAGACTTAGCACTCCATATCATATGCTCCAAAGCATATTTCTCTATGGTGTGGCTGACCTCTGACCCCACTCTCTCACTGATCTACCAGCTGAGGCCCTTCTTCTCACAGACAGTCCTTTTTCCTCTGTGTCCCTCTGGACCTCAGAAACGACCCCATTGAAGACTGGAGATCAACATTCTGGCAAGTAGCAGAGCGGATGCAGAAGATGCAAGAGAAAGAGGAAGCTTTTGTGCTCAATCCAGCCATCGGGGTAGGGCCAGGCTCTCCTTTCTCTCTGTATGCCTTCAAGCATATGGGAATTGCTTGTCACACTCCGGGAATCTTTGATGTTAAAGTCTCTGCTTCTTTTGCTTAAATCCCCAAGGCGCGTCCTATCAACGTACATGTTTTCAATGAAGTCCTGTTTTTTTTTTCTTACTTTCTCACCTCAAAATGTTTGTGTTTTTTTTTTTTTAATCTTTATTTCAACCCTGTTTCTCAGATCAATAACCAGTAAGCACGTCTATGACCTAGAAGAGTCTCTGCTGAGAGGAGCTCTTTTGCCATCTATGCGTAGACAGCCTTGGCTAACCACTGTGAGGTGTCACTCAGGCTCTTTTACAGATTCAAATGTCAAGCACGGTTTTAAAGACCGTGATAGTGTTTCAGTCTTATGCCTTATGTTATCCTCTCCACAATGCTCAGAGCTCTTAGCTTCAGAATTCCTGTTCTTTATTCTTTCCTGGTCCTGCACACATCTCGCTAGAACCATCTATCCCTGCATTTTCTCTAACCAAAACTTTTTCCTCCTGCCTCCCTTTGTCAGTGGTGAGACCTTTCCCTTGATCTTCGGGTGAGATAGGACGGGAAATTCCATAGTATAGACAACTGTTCTTACTTCCTGTCTCTTTCCTCCTCACTCTACTGATTGGCTTTGTTTGCTTGTTTTTTCTTTAAAGGTTTATTTTAAAGTTATTTTTAGGTGTGTGTGTGTGGGTGTGTGGGTGTGTGGGTGTGTATGCATGTGAGTGCAGGTATCCATAGAAGCCAGGAGAGGGCGTCAGTTCCCCTGGAGCTGAGTTACAGGCATTTGTGAGCTACTAGATGTGGGTGTTGGAAACTGAACTCAGACCCTTTGCAAGAACAGTAAGCACCGTTAACAATTGAATTACCTCTTCAGCCCTCGGTCTTCTGTTTGTAATCACTGGTCATGCTGTTCTCTTTGCTGCAGTCTTTGTTTGAGGTACTGTGTTGTAACCCTGTACCACTGGGCATCTGCTTCATGTGTCTGTCTAATACATGGGACACTTGGCATTTAGGAAAGACAAAATACCATAAAACATGATGGAAAATGTTCTCAGCAAGAAAAGATTTCAACGAAAACCCTTGACCCAGCTGTCAAGAGACCCAATCACTGGCACCCTCCCGGAGAGTCTTGAACACACCATAGAGACAGATGGCTGGCTGTGGCCCTTTCCTTCCCGTCTCCTTTCAGTTAAACACACGCCAGAATTCATCCCCACAACACAGTGAAGGCCACCAATAAAAGACATGCTCAGTGATCACTAACTAGAGGGAATGTCTAATGGGGATCACCCACCAAACTCATGCCTAGGGGTCACCACTCCACACACAAGAATCACCAACTCCATGCTCGGGGGTGGGGGGGGTCATGAACTGGTGAACTGGTAGACTCCTGGGTTGCCCTTTTTCTCCCAATTCCTCTTAGTGTCATTGCCTCCTTAGCCCGAGGGGCTCAGTGGCTCCTCCAGGATGAAAGGCGGAAGCGCCACCAGGATTCTGCTGGAAACCCTGCTACTGGCAGCCCATAAGACTGTGGACCAGGGAGTTGCGTCCTCTCAAAGGTATGAGGAAACAGACAAGTTGGGGATCAGATTCAAGCCGTGGTGATGTGGAGGAGGAGATGGCGGGTTTGGAATCCAGAGGCCAGCTTTTAGGAGTCCTCTGACTAAAGGATGATCCAGGTCATGCAGGCTAGAGCCACCTGCTGTGACTTCCTTAGCCAAGGCCTCTAGCCTAGCTTCCAGAATGTTCAGGTCCACCCTCCTCTTGGCTTTTGTTTTCCCCACTTTTAAAACAGAATCCTCTCTGCTCTCGTCAAAGGCAGTCTGGATATCTTTCTCCCCCCTTCTTTCCTCCCTCCCCCCTAGGTACATAATGTAGGGGTACATAATGTCTTTTAGGGGGATCATCAGGCCCTCTCTGAGAGCTAGTAAATTTTCTTCTAGATGCCTTCTGGAAATCCTGAGGACATTTGAGCGGGCTCATCAGGTGACCTACAGTCAAAGTTCCAAAATTGCCACCTTGATGAAACAAGTCAGCACCAGGTATGTGACTATGTGTCCGTAAGGGACGTCTTGAGAGTGGAGGAACCTCTGTGAGATGTGTTAACATGGCCAGGGTGATGGGCCCACCTGTTGGAAGGTCTTGGTTGTTTACGTCTGTGTTCCTCTGCGGCCTCTTTTCATGGTGATCACTTGTGTCCTGGCTTCTGACTCACCCTCAGCCTGGAGAAGAAAGGCCGGGTGCACTTGGTTGGCTGGCAGACCCTTGGCATCATTGCCATCATGGATGGAGTGGAATGCATCCACACCTTTGGTGCTGGTAGGCCCTGGTCCTGACGTTCGTCCAGATTCCCGCTAACCCGGCCAATTGGTCCACTATCAAAATGCTTCCCTGTAACCCCCCGAGGCTCCCCAGCGCCTGTCTGTCCTACATAAGGAGGCATTTCAGTCAAAAGCTTCTTTCATTTGAAGCATCAAATTTCACCTCCGTCCTTGATCTCTCAGTTTCTGCCTCAGAGTTTAACTATAGCCTCCTTCACATCCCACCTCACATCCTGACCCCATCTCAGCCCTTGAAGTCAAGAGCCTTCCTTTCTTCTCCAGCCCACCATTCTTTTCTCTCTGATCTTAAATTTCCCAGATTTCCGAGATGTCCGTGGTTTTCTCATTGGTGACCACAATGACATGTTTAATGAGAAGGCAGAGCTCACTGACCAGGTTGGAAGAGGACAGGGCTTGGGAAGTTGAAGGACTCACCTGTGTGCAAAGGGCCGTAGGGGGGTGGGGGTCGGGGTAGGGGACTATGAGGGACAAACAGTCCTGAGGAGTAATGTCAGTGAGAGGTCATGGAGCTGTGAAGGAGTGGGGTATGGATGGCTCTGGGTTTGCTCAGCTTTAGTCCACTGGCCTGCTATATCACCTTTGGCAAAATGCTACCATTTTGAACCCTGATTCTTTTCAACTGAAATCAAAAGGGCTGTAGTAGGTTTTCCCTTCAAGTCTGTGCTCTTGAGTGTACTGCTGAGAGAAACTTCCCATCTTCTTCTGGCCCCAGGGTCCCCAGTTCACCTTCTCCCAGGATGACTTCCTGACTTCCATCCTGCCATCCCTCACGGAAATTGACACTGTGGTCTTTATTTTCACCCTGGATGGTGAGAGGAAAGATGGGAAAGGTAGCACTGGCTTAGAGGAGCTGTCATTTCTCTGAGTCTCCTGGTGCCTTGTCAGAGGGAGGGTGGCTTAGGGTTTCTATTTTTTGTGATAAAACACCATGACTAAAAGCAACTTGGTTAGGGAACGGTTTATTTCACGTTACAGTTAATGTCTCTCACTGAAGGAAGGCAGGGCAGGAACCTGGAGACAGGAACCAGAGCAGAAGCCAAGGGCGAGAGCTGCTTACTCCTCATGGCTTGCCCAGTCTGCTTTCTTAGGGCCCTCAGGACCACCAGCCCAGGGGTGGCATTGCCCATCACTCAAGAAAATGCACCACAGGCTTGCCCACAGGCCAGACTGATGGGGGCATCTTCTCACTAGAAGTTCCTTTTTTCCCAAATGATTCTGCCCTGTGTCAAATTGACATAAAACCATCAGCACAGAGGGACAGAGTGAGTGTCCTGTCAGGATCCCAGGGTGGCGGGGAGAACAGCTTCATAGCCCAGGCTTTAAACTCTGACGTCTCGCATCCCACCCAGATAATCTCGCAGAAGTACAGGCACTGGTGGAGCAGGTGAGAAAGAAGAGCCCTAACATCCAGGCCCTGGTGCACAGTACCGTAGGGCAGTCATTGCCGGTGAGTGTCCAGCCCCGGGGGAGGAGACCGGGGCATGGTCCAGCCAGGCCTTCTGGAACATACCACTCCTTTGCATCTCTCTCCCCTCAGGCCCCTCTAAAGAAGCTCTTTCCCTCCATCATCAGCATCACGTGGCCACTTCTTTTCTTCGAATATGAAGGGAGCTACGTTCAGGTAGGCTGGGATGAGAAGGCAAAGTCTTCCCCTGTGGCTTAAGAGTCCAAAATACCCAAAGCTTACTGAGAAAAGCCTGAATATCTGTTTGTCTTCTTCCCTTCCCCAGGCTGGGTAAATTCTCAAATTATCGGGTCTCTAAAGAGAGTTGCCAAGGCAACAGGGTTCCGTTCCTTCTAGGAATATACAGAAAGGACAAGACAGGCCACCGATCGTCACATGCTCATTTGTTCTTTGGGACAGGTTAATTGTTGTTGTTGAAGTCGTTATCACCACCCATAGCCTCTAAGGAACTTTCTTTCTCACGGCACATTACACTTCTCATAATGCCGTTCCTGCCACTATAAGCCAGGAGATGCACTGAGAGGGATCAGAGAGATGACAGAGCAGTTTGGTTTGCAGTGAACACCAGGAGATCTGGGTGCCAGTCCAGCTCTGCTGTGTGGCCCAAGAAAGGAAACAAAAATAAGTATCTCTGGGCCTTCCTTTTCTCCCCCACGATCTGCCCACCCTCCATGGGACAGAACCAGGGCCCAGGAAGGGTCTGGTGAGGTGTGGTCTTTTATCATTATTCAAACTACTTCTTCTGGAAGCTTCCAGACTTGACCAGGCAGAGCCAGCACACAGAGCTTACACAACCATGATGCCTAATACAAATATAGCCCTTTTTACCCATGTAAATATTCCATATATATTATCCCATTTCTCATAGCAATCTACTAAGGCATGGGTACTCAGTTTCACCATCTACCCAGACCCTCATTTCTGCTTTTTTGTTTCTTAGTTGGTTTTTGGTTTTTTGAGACAGAGTTGGCTGTCCTGGACTCACTTTGTAGATCAGGCTAGTCTCGAACTCACAGAGATCTGCCTGCTTCTGCCTCCCCAAGTGCTAGGATTACAGGCATGCACCACTGTGCTGGCTCATTTTAATGTAGTGACATTTTATTTAAATTTTGTCTATATTCAAATCTCTGAGTCTTTTTTTTTTTTCGTTGATAGTTTTTAATCTTTCAGTTGATGCCGGTCTTTCCCCATGGAATTGTCTGAAAAAAAGGTTTCCATTGGGACTTTGTTCTCATTTGCCTTCAGCTGCTATGATTAGACATTGACCCAAACCAACATGGAATGGAAAACTTTATTTCACCACTCATTTGGGGAGTCAGGGAAGGAGCTCTCGGGGAGGAAGCAGGAACAGAGACAGGGACCATGCCACAGAGGAAAGTGGCTTCCTGGATTCTTCTCCATGGCTTGCTTGGTTTTCTTTCTTTTTAAATTTTCTATCACAGAGCTGGGCACGGTGGCACACACCTTTAATCCCAGCACTCTGGGAGGCAGAGGCAGGCGGATCTCTGTGAGACGCCAGCCTGGTCTACAAAGCAAGTCCAGGACAGCCAAGGCTACACAGAGAAACCCTCGAAAAACAAACAACAACAACAACAATCTATTATATTATTTGTGTTTATGTGGTGTGTGTAAGAGTTGGTTCTCTTCTACCTATGGATCCAGGGGATTGACTTTAGGTTGTGAGCAGCTGCTTCTATCTAGTGAACAATCTCACTAGACCCAGCCTGCTTTCTCATGACCAATTGTCCAAGGGCTGCACCACCCATCAGAGTGGGTGGGGCCCTAACACATCAATCATCAACCAGGAAAATGCTCTATAGACATGCCTACAGGCCAGTCTGACGGAAGCAATTCTTCATCTGATGTTCCCTCCTCCTGGGTGACTCTAGTTTGTGTCAAGTTGACAAAACCCAGCACAGACTTGTTGATCTTTAGTTGTAGAAATATTTTGGATTCTGTTCTGATTGTTACCCTTAATTTGAAACATTTCACCCTATTCACCAGACCTTTTTTATTCACCAGTCACATTTACTTCATCCCTTTTTTTTCCTAGATCATGTGAAAGGTAAGTAAAGACATCTTTTTGTTTGTTTGTTTTTTTTTTTTTTTTAAGACAGGGTTTCTCTGTGTAGCCTTGGCTGTTCTGGACTTGTGATCAAGCTGGCTCGAACTCATAGAGATCCACCTGCCTCTGCTTACTTGAGTGCTGGGACTCTCAGGACCATGCCTGTAGAGCCTTCTTACATGTCACACTGTGTCAGGCAGAGTGACACATACCTGTAATCTCAGCAGTTGGAGGCAGGAGCAGAATCAGAAAGAGTTCAGAGCCATCCCCAGCTACATAAGGAGCTGGGCAACACTCAGGGTTACATAAGACTCTGTCTCAAACAAACAAACAAACAAACAAACAAAAACCTCTCCCCAGTTACTCCAGAATATGTCCCTGAACGACAAGGGCATTTGCTGCTATAAGTATGCTAGAATTGTTTGCTCTGGGAATGACAGTTAATCTGATACAATTACCTAAATTCCAATTTCCCGAGTTCTCCCTGGGCAAGTTGCTTTTCTTTTCCAGATCTAGAGTCCAATCAAGCATAACCTGCTGACTTCACTCACTGGGTCTCTACTCTCCTTTAACAATCTTCAGTCTTTTTTTCCCCCTTGTCTCTCATGACATTGATATTTTTAGAAGTCTAGGCAAATCTTTTTTTGGAATGTACCTCATATTTCCAAAACATACAAACAACTTGCTGTATTGTTTTTTTTCATCATATTCAGGCTTAATTTTTTTTCTTTTGGAGGAGACTGGCGTGTCATATCAGGAGTCACCTGGCATCTGTTTGTCTCTTTCTTGGCGAGGCCATGGTGGCTTTTTCCGTGGCTGCTGTGTTTCTTTGCATCCTGTCACCCAGCAGTCCTTACCCACTGTTTCGCATCTGCTGCTGATTTCTGCTTGACTCAGTTATTCCCGTGGTGACTGTCAACTGGTGATTTTCTATTTCTAGCTCTCTTCCTCTTATATATTCATTAATTGGCATTCTTTTCTAAGGAACTTCCTATTCACTCCCCGCCCCAACTGTATTTTTTAATGTCATTGTGGGCTTGTGAATTTTCTGTTGTGGTTAAATGTTTAGTTTTGTTTTTGTTTCTTGTTGCCTTCCTTCCTTCCTTCCTTCCTTCCTTCCTTCCTTCCTTCCTTCCTTCCTGAGAAAGCTGTACTAGAACTCTTTATAAAGTGAAGACTGGCCTTGAACTCAACCCTCTCACATCTGCCTCCCCACCGCCATGTGTGGCTTGGTTGTGTTTTAATACATTCTTTTTTTATTCTGTTTTATTTTTATATGTATGTGTGTGTGAGTCTGCCTGTCTGTATGTACACCGTGTGTGTGCAGTGCCATGGCCAGAGGAGGGCTTTAGGTTTCCTGGAACTGAAGTTCCAGGTGATTGTGAACCTCCCAGTGTGGGTGCTGGGGGTCTACCTCAGATACAGTGCGAGAGTGGCAGGAGCTCTTCACACTGAGTGCCCCTTCTCGATACTCTCTCTCCCTCTTGGTTTTTTGTTGTTGTTGTTGTTTCCAAAGCAGGGTTTCTCTGTATAGCCCTGGCTGTCCTGGAACTCACTCTGTAGACCAGCCTGGCCTTGAACTCAGATCTGCCTGCCTCTGCCTCCTGAGTGCTGGGATGAAAGGTGTGTGCCGCTGTACCTAATAGATTCTCTTCCCTTAATACAGTCTCTCTCTCTCTTTTAAGTTAACATTTGTTTTTATTCTTCTCTCATATATTAATCCCAACCACAGTTTCCCCTCCCTCCTCTCCTCTCTGTCCCCCTTCCCCTCCCCCACATCCATTCCTCCTCTGTTTCCCCTCAGAAAAGGGCAGGCCTCCCAGAGACATCAAGTAAATACAGCGTCTGAAGCTGCGGTACCCTCAGGTTAGGGCTGGTTGAGGCAACCCGGGAGGAAAAGCCCCCAAAAGCAAGCCAAAGAGGCAGAGACCGCGCCCACTCCCACTGTTAGGAGTTTAACACATTCTCGTAGTACTTATTTTTCATTTTAATCCTCAGAATGAGAGCTTGTTCAAGTTGCTCCCTCAGGCCAATTCTTATCCATATTTAAACACAGTTTGGATGTTTCTTTTTGAAGAAAACAAAGGAAAGACACGTCTCGTCTCCGTGCAGAAGGTGGCATACATTCCCATCCCATGGGCTTTGCTTACCGTCTCTGAATATTCCCCCACCCCAGGGCAGAGCTCCTCTCCACTGACCGCCGTGTAGGAACACGTACAATAGTTTACCCGACCAGTCTCTTCTTTGGGGCATCGGCTTGTTTTCAGCATTTTGGTATTGTCAATAATGACGTGATGAGCATGCGCACAACTCAGTGTTTCTTTGAGACGGATACCTGGAAACATTAGGTCGTGGTCAAAGGTTAAATGAAAATGTAATCCCGTTAGACACGGGAGACTTTTCCACAGGCGCTGCACCATTTTGCTCCTCATAGCTGCAGCTTAGGAGAAGGCTGACTCCATGCAGCCTCCCGGAGAGTTTTGTCTAGCTTCTGGATTTTTGTCACCTTGATGGAGAGAAATTCAATTTCTGCGTAATTTTCATTTATGTTCTGTTATTTACTGACATTTTGAAGCAGTGGGATGGTGCTCAGCTCCACACATGCTAGGGAAGTGCTCTGCCACTGAGACACACCCCAGCCTGTTTCTCTCTTAAGTGAGAAGCGCACAACGTCTGTCTTTCACTCTTTCCTGCTCCTCCACCTCCCTCCCTGCTCTTTTGCTTTTCCTGCCTCTACCCCTTCTTTCGGCTGTCCTGGAACTCCCTGTGTGGACGAAAAGCCTCAAACCCACAGTGACCCTTTCCTTCCTGCCTCCAGCATGCTGCCACTGCAGATGTCTGCCACCGTGCCCAGCTTTTGATTCTTTCAACAGGCTCTTAAACCTTTTCTGACTCTTTGACCCTGAGTTCTTTATAAAGCCGTTAGTGTTCTATTTCTGAGATACACTGTAAATGTTTTCTCTTGACTCTAATCTGCCAAAAGTCTATGCTAATTTTTCTGAGGTTGGATTTGTCAATCTTTATTACCATTTGGGTCTTGAAGCATAGACCCCACACACACACACACACACTGGTATGGCCCTTGTGTGTTTCTTTTTGCAGTTCTCAGGGATCTTGTATATTCTTGTGTATGCAGTAGACGTGAACCCACTTATATTTTCCATAGCAACTACCTAATTTTCTTAGTTAATTTGTTGTTGCTGTGACTAAGCACCATGACCCAGGCAACTTCTAAAAGAAAACATGTAATTGGAGGCCTGTTTGCAGTTTCAGAGAGTGAGTCTGTAACCATCAGAGCAAGAGCATGGCAACAGGCAGGCAGGCCTGATGCTGAAGCAGTAGCCGAGGGCCTACATGTTGAAACGACAACCATGAAACACATGAAACACACACACACACACACACACGCACACACACACACAGAGAGAGAGAGAGAGAGAGAGAGAGAGAGAGAGAGAGAGCTAACTGGGAATGGCATGAGCTTTTGAAACCTCAAAGCCCAACCCCCAGTGACACACCTCCTCTAAGATGGACATGTCCTTCCCAAACTGGTCCACATTCAAAAATCTGAGCCTATGGGGGACATCCTCACCCAAACTGCCACAACAATTGTCTCAGTTTAATTTTTAAGTTTCTAGCTTGAGTAATTTAGGATGCTACATGTGCTATATACTCAGGTACCACGTGCACTGGTCCAATAACAATGCAGTGAGTTTACGTATATTTTTGTAATGTGCAAAGCATTCTGGATTTTCTTTTCTCTCTCTCTCTGTTCCTTCCTTCTTTCCTTTGTCTGCTTGTTTCTTTTTCAAGATAGAGTTTCTCTGTACAGCCTTGCTGGAACTCACTCTGTAGACCAGGCTGGCCTCAAACTCAGAAATCTGCCTGCCTCTGCCTCCCAAGTGCTGGGATTAAAGGCATGCACCATCACTGCTGGGCACATTCTGGATTTCCTATTTTGTTCCACTGGTCTGTCTGTTGATGTACTGATGCCATGAGCTTAATTGGAAAGGATTTCTGCCATGTGTAATATTTGGAATGTTTAGTCTTCCATTAAATATTAAGCACTTTCCTAGCTATAATTGCAGATTTATTTTTCCTTTTGAACTTTAAAAGTCAATGATGTAAATTTTAAAATTACTTTGTTAGTGATACTTAATGAGATAAACGGCTAATAATATAACTTAGATTTAATTGCCTTCATTCCTACAGGCAGTCTGATAAATGTCATAGAGCATCTGTCTCGGCCAGGGTTTCCATTGCTGTGATGAAACACCATAACCAAAAGCAGCATGGGGAGAGAATAATTTATTTCATCTTATAACTCTCAGGCCAAATTTCCATCACTGAGGGAAGTCAGGGCAAAGGGAATATTGCTCACTAGCTTGTTCTCCATGGCTTGCTCAGTTTGCTTTCTTCTGCTCTTCCTTCCTTCCTTTCTTCCTTTCTTCCTTTCTTTTTTTCTTTCTTTTCTTCCTTTTTCTTTCTTGAGACAGTTTCTCTGAGTAGCCTTGGCTGTCCTGGACTCACTTTGTAGACTAGGCTGGCCTCGAACTCACAGTGCTCCACCTTCCTCTGCCTCCCTGAGTACTAGAATTACAGTTGCATGCCACCGTCTCTGGACCCAGTTTGCTTTCATAAACTCCAGGACTACCTGGCCAGGAATGGCACTTGACATAGTTGGGACAGTTCATGTAGATCATTAATCAAGAATATGCCCCACAGATACACCTTCAGTCCAATCTGATGTTGAAAGCAATTCCTCAGCTGACTTTCCCTTTTCCTAGATGACGTTAGCTGTGTCAAGTTGATAAAGAACCAAACAACACAGTTCTTAGTATTGCATACTCATGATCATTCTGATTGTTCAGATTTCTGTTCTCTTACTCAGTGTCCTTGTCATGTGCTTGTTAAATATTTCAATGTCGGGCCAGTGAGATGGCTCAGTGGGTAAAGACACTTGGCTGCACAAGTCTGAAAATCTGAGTTCAATCCTGACATCCATGTGATGATGATGATGATGATGATAAATTCAGCATATCCAGGTATGTTGCTACACATTTATAATCCCAGCACTTGGGAGGATGAGACCAGACTGGATTACATAGTAAGTGAGCCTCTGTCTCAAAAACAACAAACAAAACAAATGAGGGGTGGAAAGGCAAAATGGCCCAGCAAATTAAGGTGCTTGCCACCAAATCTGAAGATCTGAGCTCAATCCCTGGGACATAAGTGGTGAAAGGAGTGACTGAACTCCCATTGGTTGTCTGTCCTTTGACTTCTGCATGCATTCTGTGGTATACAGGCATGCACAGAGACAAACACAACGAAAAGAAAATATTTTAGTATGATAATTTCAGAAGGACTGAGACTCTGGAATAGAATTAGACACAGTCCCTGCATTCAGGGAGACTGTAGCTAGCGGTTAAGTTGCAGTACTTACTTTTCCCACATCTATGGAATCTATAAATCTATGGATCCCTCAAGGGTCCAATAAAAACTTGGTGGCTGGAGAGATGCCTAGCAGTTAGGAGCACTTTCTGCTCTTCCAGAGGATCCAGGTTCAATTGGCTGTGTCCACATGGCAGACACAACTGTCAGTAACTCCCATTCAAAAGAATCTCTTCTGATCTCTGAGTTCACTGAATGCATGGGTACACATGCAGGCAAAACACCCATACATGCTAAAAATACAAGTAAATATTCTTTTTTTTTTTTTTTTTTTACAAAGTAGAATGTTAAACGTGAAAATTTCAAGGACAAAGACCAAATCCATGATTGTCTGATTAAAGCAAACTTTATTCAGTACTGGCCAGGAAGATGGACCCTGGCTCAGACCATACCCAGGATTCCCAGAGAAGGTGCTGAGGCAGGTCAATCAGGTGCTTATAAAGGCAAACCTCACAAGGCTACATACTTACCACCTTCATCCGGTCCAATCAGGGACAAGCATATGTACCTCCTGCCTATGTGAGATCAAGCACATCCTATTCAGTTGGGGCAACCCACTCCATTTACTGATGTGGAAACAGGTGGCTTGTATTTTACATGAACAACAGCCCCAGCATTTCAGGAAGTTATGTGTTCTTGGGCAAGTGGGGCTTACAGGTTAACTTTAGCCCTCACAAGAATAGAATTAGAAGTCAAAAAGAAGCTGAGTGTGTTGGCACACACCTTTAATCCCAGGACTCAGGGAGGCAGAGGCTGGTGGATCGTTTTGAGTTCAAGACAGCCTGGTCCAGAGTCCAGGACAGCCAAGGCTACACAGAGAAACCCTGTCTCGAAAAAACAAACCAAACCAAAAAGTCAAAGAGATTGCTAAAGCCTGGTGTCACCCAACAAATGATCTGTGTTTTGGTGTTTGGTTTCTTATCGAAAGTTTTCTATGCTATAATATGGCTGGTTGCTCTCCCAGCCTCTGACTCTTGTGTGCTTGCATTTTAGAAGTTCCAGCGTGAGCTAAGCACTAAGTGGGTGTTGAATACGGTGAGCACCGGGGCCCACGTGCTGCTAGGGAAGATCCTGCAGAACCACATGCTGGACCTCCGCATCGCCAACTCCAAGCTCTTCTGGAGGGCCCTGGCTATGTTGCAGGTGGGAGCTTGAGGGGGGCTCCCAAACCTAGGCTGCAGCAAAGTCGGGGGGTGGTGTAGGGTTGAGGGCAATTTTTTTCACACGTGTATCTATCTTTCTGGAGCATGTCTTCTGGTCTGCATGCATGCCCACACAGGGACACTGAGGGGGTCCTGCAGGTGTCATACGGGGAAGTGAACCAGTTGAAGAGATAAGAATGAAAACCTGGTGCAGATCGACTTCATCAGCCTGGATCAGACTTGGGGAGTCTGATGCTAGACAGTTCGTTGTCAGCACATTCAAGACACAAAACAATTTGGGGAAAGGTTTCCAGGTGCTCAGTAAAGCTTAAGGTGTGACTACATAGAAACTCTTTTACAAAGTATGTGTGACCATGAGGGTGGGTTCTATAGATAAAAGCTTTAGAAGCTAATGTGGCCTCTGGCCAACAGCATAGAAGTCATCGTACTTGTGACATTTCCTCTAAGGGTGGGTAATGGTCTAGGGAGGGAAGAGTCGGGGATAATCATTCTGGGGAACTTGGGTGAGGTCTGCCTCTATAGCACAGGAGGGTGAGTTCTGCCTCCGCAGATAGCAAAGAGGTCACCAGGTCATTAACAAAATCCACTCTTAGCTTTCTGTTTGGTTGGAACCCCCCCCCCCCCCCCAGCACAAGCTGGGAAACCCTCCTCCCAAGCCTGCCTGCACTGGGAAGCCTTCCAATGAAGGAAAGGTGCAAATTGCGTAGTATTGGTTTTTATCTCCTCCACTCGGAGATCTACCTGCCTCTGCCTCCTAAGTGCTGTTATTAAAGGCGTGTACCCACCGGCTGGTTGGGGAAGTTTTATAGACGGAAGCTGAAGGGTGATGACGTGTCAGCTGCAAGCTGGATTCGTGCCCAAGTATGGTCAAGAGCTGAGCACTTAGGCAGGAATTTGGGTAGCTGGCAGCACCAGGGGAGGAGATTTCAACTGCCACCAAGAATGCGGAACTGGGCTCTTGGCACCTTTCCTTTGTTCGGAGGCTTTCCAGTGCAGGCAGGGTTGGGAGAACGAGGGCAGACGGGTTTCCCAGCTTGTGCAGGGGCGAACCAAACAGTATTGTTCTAAGCCAGAGCAAGTGACTGTTCATGTAACTGAACAGTTCTAGCTCTCGTGGATGCTCTTCTGAAGGGCCCTAGAATCTTCAGTCTCTGTTTTCTTCTGGGTTGTTCTCATTCTCAGGTCCATTTTCTGGAATCTATGATCAGTGCTGGTGTAACATCCTGACAATTAGCTCAGTGGGAAGGAGTCTTTCTGTGCCTGTGACTCCACCCAGTGCCTGGAGGAGGGCTCTTATTGGCTCGTGGTGGGTCACGTGCACAGCCTTGACCCAATCACTGTCCTCCAGGGGAAAGGGTGCTCTGCCCATCTGTTTGTGTACTTTGTAGAGGCTGGTGGGATGGCATGGGATGGGACAGGAGATGAGCTTGATTATATCTTATAGCTTCAGAATGGAAACCAACAGTTATCCATGGGGGACAAAAGGGAGTAACGCCAGAGAGGGGGAAGAATGGGTGCTGACTGGAGAGCCTTGAAGTTTGCTATCCTTGATCACTGATCTATAGAGTTGTTGGGACACGGTTGTAAATCTCACCAATTTCCCACTCATTGTGAGCCAGCGGTGATCCACCACCAACTCCTTTAACCCAGATTTTCCTTATACCTCGTGATGATGGGGCCTCCAGAAGGGGTAAATTCTTCAGCCAGTCTTTTGGATCCCAGCACCCACTTTCTAGTCTCTTCCTTCTCCCATGACACTCTTCCCAGTTCTCCTCGACATCTATCCCAATACTGACCTCACGGCTTCTTTCGCAGCGGTTCTCTGGCCAGTCCAAGGCTCGCTGCATCGAGAGCCTCCTCCAAGCGATCCATTTTCCTCAACCGCTGTCGGATGACGTCCGGGCTGCTCCTATCTCCCGCCATGTCCAGGTTGCCCACGAGAAGGAAAAGGTAGCCCTCCCCCTTGCCTGGCTGTTCAACAAACACTCTCTGAGTACCCTGAGTATCTTAGGAACGTTGTGTGACACTGGGTTTACAAAGCTCAGAGATACCCTGTCACACGGAGCTCCCGTTTGGAGAAGCTGGTGGATGGGGTAGGCGTGGGGTAAGGAGGTAGGACCGTGACAGAAGCTACAGAGGAAAAAGCGGCGTCAAGAAAGAGCGAGAGATGGGCTCTTTGCCCAGTTTTCCGGCTTCAGTGCTGGTTTTTCCTCTGCTCTTGACCCCACGCTTTCTGGTCGTGAGAACCACCTTCCACACTTGCAATCCAATTTAGCCATTGTGCCCAGGCCTCTATTTCCTCCAGGGTTCTTGCTCGAATGACCTCACCTTTTCTCCAGCTCTCCCTGCCCCTACCCGCAGGTGATCCCCACAGCCTTGCTGAGCCTCGTGCTCAGGTGCGCCACCGCGGAGGCTAAGGCGCGCCTGGCTGCAGCCCCTTCGGTCTGTGAGGTTGTCAGGAGCGCCCTCTCTGGGCCGGGTCAGAAGCGCAGCACCCGAGCCCTCGGAGACCCTAAAGACTGTGGGGCAGTGAACTGACGTTCCTGGGACCACGAAGGGACAGAGCCTCCGTCCAGTCCGAAGGGGACTTGTGCCAGCAATACACGTGGTCGGACAAACCCAGTGTGGAGGGTGGGGCACCAACAGCCCTGGATTCGGGGGGAAAGTCTTGTTCTCAGCCGGACCATTTCCACTTTTACTCGCGTCTTCTGATTTCAGAAATAAAACTCAATGTCTTGTTTTGGAACCTAATCTCGCAAAAAGCCAGACTCAGTACACACAATCAGGAAAGTGGGGACTTCGGGTATTCCAGGCAAGAGAGAGGCTGTGTTCCAGATAGTATTTGCGAGGGAAAGACAAGTGACAGTTAGACAGGATCATTCGGGCTAGAACGCCAGGTCCACGGAGAGACTACACTCTCTCCCTGTGTTTGCAAGAATGAGTTTAAGGAACTCTGGGAGTGCTGGGCACCCTTTGGTGGCTAGGAAGTTGTCTGAACAGCCTTAGACTCAAGTTGTCACAGGTTTTGATAAATAGAGGCGCCCGGATTCATCCTAGGTCCAGTCTTCGGGGGCCTGCTGCCAAGGCTAGCTCTGTTGAGATCTGGCTCCCCCTTGTGGCAGAGAAATAGCCAATTAATAGCTCTCCGAGCCCTTCCTCATGGGGCTTTCAGCGGCTAGAACTAACTTGGGATATCACAGGGAGGTCAGGGATCAAGGACATTTTTGGAACAAAGGAGGTTAAAGTGAGACAAATAAAACCTGCACGTGTTTTAAGGCTTGCAGTGGTTATGTGGAGCGCATAGCAAAGAGTTAGGTCTTTGTCAGGGGATTCTGGGCTCTAGGCAGAGCTGAAGAAATTCGGGAATTGAGTAAGGTGTGGAGATGTAAGCCTGTAATCCCTTCACACGAGAGGGTGTGGTAGGAAACTGAACTGGAGGCTACGCGGCAAGATCTCTCTCCCTCTTAAGGAACTGTCTAGAGACGAATGGGCTACAGCTCGTCTCTAAATAGCTAGCACTATCTGGAGAAAGCCAGCATCCGAGGGGATGAAAACATCAAGAGAGTAGGCAGTGATGATGCCAAAATGATGACAGGTGGCTGACCCAGAAGACCACAGGTCGGAAGACGAGAAAGAAAATGATCTCTCGGATACCCATCTGCTGGATCAAAAGCAAGAGGATTTAGGGTAGGAGACAATCAGATATTGAACACATTTGTAGTCTAATATCTTGAAAATGATGACCACGATTCCTGGTCAGCTACCTGTTATTTTCAGAACTTAGGTGGTAGTGACATTTCACAACTTAGGCCACCTAATATGGGTCTTGAATATGTTAAAGAGTTTCTAAAGTCAAAGAAGGGAGTTTGAACCAGGTAAGGGTTGAAAGTACCAACCCAATTCTATATATGGGCTCAACAAACACAGCCAAATGCCCAGTATCCCATCTAACCTCAAGGTAGGATTTGTATATATGTATTAAATCCTAGTGCTGCACCAGGTGGTGGTGGTACACGCCTTTAACCCCAGCACTTGGGAGGCAGAGGCAGGTGGATCTCTGTGAGTTGGAGGCCAGCCTGGTCTACAGAGTTCCAGAACAGCCATGGCCACACAGAGAACCCTGTCTTGAAAAACAAACAAACAATAACCCTACTGTTGCAAGGACAGACAGTGAATATAGAATCTAGCTATAAAACACTCCCCTCATGGGAGAGGGAAGACCTGACTCTCTTTTCAGCTGGTGACTGAGGGCGACAACGTAAGAGAAAGACTCAGAAGATGAGCTCTGTTTTATAGAGTCCCTAAACTCCACAATGATGGGGTTTATTGAAAGCAAGCAGGCAAAATAACTAATCACAGATAAAGCTGAAAAAAAAATGAGCAACAAGATGAATAATGACAGAATTGAGCCGTAACACAAAGTACAAAAGAAATATACACACACCCAAAGCAATAAGTACAAATGAACAAAACAGAATATGGGGAGGGGAGGCAAATCTTTCTTACTCAAGAATTTCAAAGAATATGTGTTATATATTATTCCTCCAGGAAATGGGACTTAATCATGCTAGCCCCTGTGCCTCCAATAGGAGTTAGATTTATAGGCCACTTCTAGGAGCAAAGTATGAACAAAGGAAAACAGTAACTTTAGATAGAGAAATGCAGCATGCACTACCCAAAAATGTACTTGGCACCAGTGTCACAATATAACATGTCCAGCATATCAAGATGGACGGGTGTGCTACTGCTGTGTTCTCCATTTCACCCTGCCCCAAACATACCAAGAGAGCATCAAGGACAATCAAATTTAGGGACTTCTTTTCTTTTTTGGCATAGTGGTAGAGCAATCGCCTAGGTCTTGGAAGTCTCTGGGTTTGACCTCCAGCAACAAGGTACTATAGATTGGATCCTGAACATTGGTGGGAAAATATGAGATCCATATGAAGACTGGAATTTAGCTAACAGTAATTTTTTGAGATGGTATTTGCATAGCTCAAGCTGGCTTTGACTTTGCAATGTAGCCAAGGATGACCTTTGAATTCTGGATCCCCCTGCCTCCATCTCCCATGGTAAGTCCATGGTCTTGACAGGTGTGTCCTGAAGTTATAGGAGATGTTAAGAATAAGGTTGGGGAGATGGCTCCGTGGTTAGGAGCAGAGGGCTTGAGCTGTGTCCTCGCACCCCCACGGCTGCTCACAATTGTCTGCAGCTCCAGTTTCAGGGAGTCTGATGCTCTCTTCTGACTCCTGGGCATGTGTGTGGTGCATAGACAGACATGCAGGCAAAATATCCCTGCCCATAAGATCAATTTTTTCTAAAAAGATATTAAAGATACATGAGGAAGTGTCACTGGTCAATGAGACCTACTAATCTACTGTTGTAGCTTTTGTGGTTATTCCAAAATAAAAAGTGGAAATAAACTGCAACAGTAACTGGGAAATATGGAGGCCCGTGCACTTAGAAAACCAAGCACCTCAAAGTCTATGAGGGTTCCCACTTCAACTACCCTAACTCTCTCCGGTTCTACTCGAATCTGTGCTCTAACCTGCACTTTGAAATTTATGGCGGTGGACCCAATCCAAACTTAGGACACTGACTGGTTCCAACGAAAGTGTGAGTCAGAACAAGCCATTTTGGAAGCCCTTTGAAACTCTGCCTTGGCACTCCTTCCCTCATGACTGTTTGTCTAGCTAGACCCAGGAAGAGTCACAGATGGGCTCTTCCCTGAGCTTTGGGTATCAGATCTCTCAGAGCCAAGGGCAGCCACGGGGGAGGGCAGCAGCGGGGCCTCGGGTGTGCACACTGACTGGAAGCACCTATTGTGATGTCACGGAATCTCAGTCTGAAGACAGAAATTCTTTAGTTGAGCTGGGCATGGGCTTGAGTAATGTCGCTAATTTGGGGTCTGGCTATCCCAGTGCCAGCCCATCTCACCTTTGTGCTACTCGGTTTCTTGGCTTGTGGCATTTGGATGTTTGCTAGGCATCGAAGCCAGAAACAGGTGACAGCCAAGACAGAGGTATGTGATAGTCACTCTCCTGAAACTCACTTCTCCCTATTCTGAACCCCTAGAGGTCTGTGTAAATGCTTAGCCTCTGGGTTGTAGGAGGAAATGAATGGAGGGAAAAGAGACGCTGAGACAGTGTCCGTAGATGTCTTTCTCTTAATTCACTTTAGAAGCTTTAGGCCAGGTATGGCGGCACACAACTTTGATCCCAGTACTTGGGAGGCAGAGGCAGGAAGACCTCTCCGAGTTCAAAGTCAGCCTGGATTACATAGTGAAATCCAGGACAGCAATAACTGCTGTCTTAAAAAAAGCCAAGAAGAAGAGAAGAGAAAGAAGAAAGAACAGAAAGAAGAAAGGAGAGGAAGAAAGGAGGACGAGGTGATGGTGGTGGTTGTGGTAGCAGCAGCAGCTTCAGGATCATATTATCAAAAAGGCACCGAGGAAGAATGTACTAGAGGTTGAGGAACTGCTATCTAGGAGCTTGAGCTGAAGTGAGACATTCATACCGACATACATATAACTTCGGGGGGAAAGAATATGATTCAAGTTAAGAGAGGTGTGGATATTGTCTGTCATATGGATGGGAGGTAGAGTATGTTTTGTAGAGAAAGATTTAGAATCAAATGACAAAGAAGGTCTCAGGAAGTTCATTGCAAGTGATAGCTTTGTTGGGATGTTTATTTCCAGCAGGAGAGGCATGGTTTGCACAGCTGGTGTGCATGTTTAAGGGTAGCAGGCCACGCCTCTCTTCTGAGTTTCCTCTCCCGAGAGTAGGCCATGAGCATCTGACTCCCATCCTGCCATCTTGCCCAGACTTGGGCATGCCCACCTTTTTAATTTCAGTCATTCCAGTGAGCGTGTGGTTTCACCTTGTGGTTTCATGTGTATGCCCGGATGACTGAAAACGCTGAGCAACTTCTCGTGTTTATTTTCCATTTGGAAATTGTCTTTCGTAAACTGCCTAGTCAAGTCATTTGTGCATTTTTTTTATTTGTGTGTGTTTGTGAGCATGATGAATGTGTGGGTATGTTTGCCATTGTTCACATGTAGAGGTCAGAGGACAACTTTGTGGAGTTGCTTCTCTCCTCCTGCCTTTATGTGGGTTCTGTACTCAGGTCGTCAGGCTTACATAGGCGTGCCTTCACCTGCTGAACCATCTCACCGTATTCCTAATGACTGGGTTGTTGCTACTTTATGTAGCGATTTGAAAGACTTCTTTGACTATCACGGACAGGAGTCCTCTGCTAGATACAGAGAGTACATATACACGGAGCCCCTCTTCTTTTCTTTTTACATTTACACCTAAGATTCACATCAAATTATTTTTTGTGTATGATATGAGGTAGGGGTCGAAGTCCTCCAAATTCTAGATATTTAGTTTCTCAAGAAAAGCAGAAGAAGAATAAAGATGGGTGAGCTACTTAGACACAAACACAGACTTACACGCACCCACTCCTTTAGTAACCAAGGCAATAGTTTAATATTACTGAAAAATCAGAACTGGGCTAAGGATGTTGGTCAGTAGAAGCGTATATAACATGTACAAGGCCCTGGATTCAACCCCCAGTACTTCCCCTGGATCAAAATTAACTTTAAAAGCCCATAGTGAACAAAGATCAAAACTGGAAATGTGCATGTTTCTAGGACTAGGACTTTTCTTTGTCACTTCTGCCTGACCTCAGTCTTTTCCTCCAGCGATGATTTCTTTCTTTTCTTTTACTCTTTTTTCCTTTCTTCTT